TTCTGCTCTCATGTACTTTTAATTGTTTCATTGTCACTTTTTTATTTCTTTTCTCCTTCCTTTTTTTCTTTTTTTTTTTTATATTGCTATCATTACCCACTGGCTTCCTCTACCACCAAAAGGTGAAACAGTCCCTTGTAACAAATAAGTACAGTCAAGCAAACCAAATTCATATATATTGACCATGTCCAAAAATAGAAGTCTCATTCTTTCTATGTAGACCATCATCCCTCTGACAAGAACTGAACAGTACGTCTCATCTTTAGTCCTTTGGAACCCATGATCAGCCATTGAATTGATCACAGTGATTAAGTCTCACACAGTTAGAATTCTTTCCATTACCAATAAATTGTTCTGTTGGTTTTGCTCATATCATTCAATCCAGTTCATACACAGCTTTCCTGGTGTGTGTGAATCTGTCCTTTTCATTGTTCCTTTAATTATATTACATTACATCAACATAGCATGACTTGTTCAACCATTCCCTAACTGGTGGGCACCTGCTTTGTTTCCAGTCCTTTATTACAACAAAAAGTGCTAATATAAACATTTTGTACCCTCCAGTGAAGGTATAATTTGCATGCCATTTGTGATACCTGCTCTAAATACAGAAATGCCTAATAAGACTCCTCCTATCTGCCTTATTAAGAACCATGAACTACTTTTTCAGATACTTTTTTTTAATTCCAAGAATAGTATGAGAATACTTGCACTAATCATTCAAGACACTAGGTCCTAAAAGTCAGTTGGTTCCTGAAGAAAGGAAATAACTGAATATGATTTACATTCTCTAACTTTCAGATGAAGTGAGAGAAGTCAAGTTCTTTCCCATGATTCTTCCAGATAACACATCTTAAGTTTCAGTCTTGTAGCAAACCCTCCAGTGACTCCAGATGATCTCTTCAGCTCCTGCTACCAGTTGCCCAGGACATCATATGCTCTCACATTCAATGAGTTTCTCAATCCAGACCCCTGGGAGTCTGGAGGCCTGCCTTTTCCAAGTGTAAGAGATGGCTTCAAAACACATAAGGGACCCAGAGCATGTCAAAGTGTGGGTCCCAATTTCATCTCTTCTTTCTGCATCCTTCTCTCTGTGGAAGTGAAAAAAAAATGTGTGAGCAGTGACTTACCCTTTGGTGATTCCAAAGAGACTAACCTTGCAGAGCAAAGTGAAAAGGCTTGTGAGAGTTAGGAGGAAGGGGTGAGTAAGTTAAAAGACCAAGAGCCTATACATTTTATTTATTTAGAGATTCCTCCAAGTAGAAGAAATGGTCCTTTATTGAAGGAAACAAATGATAAAGATATGGCCTCTGAGAAAGACTTAAGAAAACTGTTATAAGGACTGAAATTCTAAGGAACTGTAAGCCAGGCTACTTCTTAGGGACAACTGCCTCCATGACTGAAGAGTGGGCAAATCACACAATAAGAACAGTATCCAAATCATCAAAGACCACAACTTGGTGAGTACCACCTACTTAATTAAAAAAAAACTAGTCTGTTTTCTTAGCATTTAATATTGCTTACATAGAGGGAGAGACGGGAGGACCTGGCTCATATGTGTAATTTTATCAGTGTAGGAAACTTCCATTGAGAAAACTCCCTCTACCTCTGTTTCACTTCATAGGGGACACTGAGAGCTGATAAAAACCTGCTCAGGATAACACAATTAGTAAATGGAACTCAAACCCAGGTGTTCCTGGTTCCAAGAGCAGCTCTCTATCCACTATATCGATACATCATCACTATCTCCCTCATTTATAATTTTTTTCTCCATCTCTCTTCATTCTTCCTTTGGATTTTTCTTTCCTTTCAGGAGCCCCGAGCCCCATTTACCTGTCTCTTGTTGTTCAGTCATTTCAGTCATGTCTGACTCTTCATGACCCCATTTGGGGTTTTCTTGGCAAAGATACTGGAGTGGTTTGCAATTTCCTTCTCCAGTTCACTTTACAGAGAAGAAAATGAGGCAAATAGGGTGATGTGATTTGCCCAGGGTCACACAGCCAGTAAGTGAGGCAGCATTTGAACTCAGGCCCAGCATACTATCCATGGCACCAGCTAACTGCCCTAGTCTATCTCTATCAACCCCCCAAATTCCTACAGATTATTGTAGAGGTCTGAGTTGACACTGCCTATACAATTTAAAAGTAACCTAGTAATTAGAGGGATTTGAGAAGCCCTATATGCCCTCCTAAGTCCCCAAATAACCAGAACCAATCCTGGTTGTCAGGATTTCCCAGCACTGAATACCATTCATATAATGTAATAATGTATATGAATTGGGCGTTATGCAGGGGCAGAGGGAGGTGGGAAGGCTAGAAAAGATAGATGGGGGCAGTTTATGAAAGATTCAACATGCCAAACAGAGAGGTGTATATTTTATGCTCTGTATCACCAGCTGCCTCTGGGACATTTCAAACCTATGCCCTGGAGATATCTAAAATTTAGAATCTCCAAAATACAACTCATTAATAACTTCACCCCAAATTTCCTCTCTAAACTTCCTGATTTCTGTTGAGACATCACTATGTTTTTTTTTCCTGTTACTCAAGTTCACAACTTCAGTGTCATCCTCAATTCCCTCACTCTCACTCATACAACTCTTATCATTTCTGTCTCACAACATCCCACTCATCTGTCCTCTTGCCTCCATTCACACAGCCACCACCCTCTGTCAGTACCTTATCATCTCTCATTTGGACTATTGGAATGACTTTCTAAATAGTGTCTCCACCTTAAGCATCTCCTCACTTTCATTGATCCTCCATTCAGGTGCCAAAGTGATTTTCCTAAAGCACAAGTCTGATTATATCTGTCCTGTAATAATAAATGAAATCTAGTTTCTAATAGTTAATAATTTTGTTTATAATATAGTTTATAATAAATTCTATTTTATAATAATACATAAATTATATTCCTCTAGTACAAAATAAACTCTGGCATTATCTCATTTGACCCAGACAGTCTTCTGATACTAAAGGGACTATAGATATATACCCATTTTGCAGGTGAGAAACAATAGTCATTCAACTTATCAATATCAGTGATAGGATCCAAAATCATGCTGCTGGAAGTAGGGCAAGGAGTATTCCAACTCCAACAACATGACCAATGAATGGGGGACTGTAGGGTGGGATATGAGGGAAGGTAAAACCAGAATTGGAAAGGGTGGCCAGGAATGTTGTATCATCAGGAGGGAACCAGGTCTCAGCAAGTTTCAGAAGATAGAAAGATTGAGAGAGGAAAAGATTTAGGATGAGAAGAAGTTTTTTAACTATAGAGCAGAGTGGAAAGGGTCAGTAGATCTAGATTAGGACATTGTAGGGGGAGGGACCTGGTTGAGAGGAATGAAAGTTAAGGGAGCAGTCAGGGGAAGGGGAAACAGATTGTACATTGGCAGCTGGAGTATCAGAATCACTGGAATGGGGATAGTACAGTGTGGAACATGATAATCAATGACAATTGAGTCCAGGTAGAATACCAAGACAAGTTAAGAACTTATTAAGTATTATGTTCCAGGCACTGTGCTAAACTCTGTATTGTCTGGGAAAAGATCTTTCTGAGGTAAGGTTATTAGATTGTTTGAGTCAAAATCCAGACTTATGGCAGTATGTAATTTTGTGTCTGAGGTCCAGTGAGATCTGACTCACAGTAGACAAAAAGAGGGGAATGTATGGCCTGGGGGCATACGGTCAGTGGCAGTTTTGTCAGGGCCACCTGAAGAAATTGGGATAGGGGAGGCAGAATTTTATGACAGGATGGCTTCCAAAGCCCCAGAGAATGCCTTAAGATGAAAACAGAAGCCAAGAGACTGATGCCTGGAATGTGGAACACAGAATTTGAACAATTTGCCCAAGATCATTCAGTTAGAAAGGTCAGATATGTTGTTTGAACTCAGTTCTTCCTGACACAAAGCCCAGCACTCTACTGGCTATTCGCATTTCCTTCCTTATTGTCAATTAATCAACAAGAATATATTAAATGGCTACTATGTGCCAACCTCTGCTCTCACAGTCTCTGCCTTCTAGGAACGTATATTCTATCAAAGAAGACAACACGTACAAGTAAGATTAGATAAAAAAATAAATATCATGTAATTTCGGGGAGGGAGGCACTAGGAAATCAGGGAGATCAGGAGAGATCTCAGGTAAGAGGTAGGATTTCAGTTAAACTTTGAAGTAAGCTAGCAATTCTGAAGGGTGAATATGAAGAGGGAATGTATGCCAGGCACAGAGGACAGCCACTGTAAAGATAAGGAGAAAAAAATGGAATATTATATGTGAGCAACAGCACAAATGTCTCTTATTATTAGAGATACATCATGGCATGGTGGATATTGAGTAAGACATGTAGTCATTGAGGCTTGAGTTCAAATCTTACATCAGACATTTACTTGCTATGTGACCCTGGAAAACTCACATGGTGGTTATATATATTGCCCTAAAAATAAGACAATGTATGTAAAGCACTTTGCAAACCTTTTAAGTGAAATATAAATTTGAATAATGCTGTACTCTTCCCTATCAAAAACAGGATGTTTCATGTCAGAATTTGTTAACATTTTTGGCTATTGATGTTAATTTTATAATAAAAACATTAACAAAAAGAAACAATGGAAGGAAATTTCAGTTGGAGGTACTGACAGAGATTTGAGGAAAGAAGTGGAATAACATAATACTTCGTTTGGGGATAAAGTAGAGTCTACTTTGATAGTACCGTCAGCATGAGATTCGACTGGAATGGGAAACAGAAGCTAGGTTGTGGAAATCAATTATCTCAGTTCTCTATAATAACTGATTGTACATCTGAATAATTGAAAAATGTTCCCATAGAATTTTTTTTAATCAAAACATCTGCATTCAACTATATGAAACCATAGTCATAAGAGTTTTAGAAATGAGAGAGGCCTTAGTAATTCTTCAAAATTGGGGGATCCGTGAGAGACAAGGAATAAGGCAATCTATGTCATGGTCGTTTCTGTCTTTTCAATAGGGTCAGGAGCCATGAACATATCACGAGGAAACAGAGTGACTGAGTTCATCCTCCTGAGTTTTCCCTGCCCCAAGAGATGCAGATCCTCCTCTTTGCAGTCTTCTCTTTGACCTATGTCCTGACCCTGATGGGGAATGGGTCCATCATCTGGGCAACGAGATTGGATTACCAGCTCTACACCCCGATGTACATCCTGCTGGCCAACTTCTCCTTCTTGGAAATCTGCTACATTAACACCACAGTTCCTAACATGTTGGCCAACTTCCTCTCTGAGTCCAAGACCATCTCCTTCACTGCCTGCTTTCTCCAGTTCTACTTCTTCTTTTCCACAGGTGCCACTGAGACCTTCTTCCTATCCCTCATGGCTTTTGATAGGTACCTGGCCATTTGTCAGCCTCTACACTACCCCACAATCATGACAGGACATTTTTGCATCAAACTAGTGTTCCTCTGCTGGGTGAGTGGCTTCCTCTACTTTTCAGTCCCTATTTGCTTCATGACTCAATTACCTTTCTGTGGTCCAAACATTATTGATCACTTTGTCTGTGACCCAGGACCCCTGCTGGCTCTGTCTTGTGCCCCTACCCAAGGGATTGAACTTTCCTATTCTATCCTCAATTGTCTTCTCATCTTTGTCACCTTCCCTTTTATCCTTGGATCCTACACTCTAGTATTCAGAGCTGTCCTCAAAGTTCCTTCAGCAGCTGGCCGGAAGAAGGCTTTCTCTACATGTGGCTCCCACCTGATTGTGGTCTCTCTGTTCTATGGGACCCTCATGGTCATGTACATCAGCCCCAATTCTGGAAACACAGCTGGTTCACAGAAAATTTTCACTTTATTTTACTCAGTAGTGACTCCACTGGTGAATCCCTTAATCTACAGCCTACGTAATAAGAAAATGAAGACTGCTCTAAGAAAAGTCCAGATGAGAGTACAAACCATCCATAGAAATTAACAGATCTTTAGTCGATTTCTCTAGAGTCGTTACTTGACCTCTTGTCCTGTCCTCAATCACCTGCTACCATTTCATTCCACACAGCTGTGAACTCAAGATTTAGTCCTCCATAGGATCTGTCTCTGTCCCATGAGGTTAGGGAGTATAGTGGATAAATGGATAGTGGATAATGAACTGGACTTAAGAGTAAGGAATACCTAAATTTAAATCATACTTCTAAAACTTACTAGCTATGGGACCCTTGGAAAGTCTTTTAACTTTCCTGGACCTCAGGTTCTTCATATGTAAAAATGAATGACACCCTTTATGACACCTAAGTTCCCTTCCAATTCAAAATCAATTATCCTAAGTCAAGGCAGACTGGGTCAGAATTAGATTCATGTTATTGTACTGCGACTATTATCTCTATTCTTAGCTATCTCTCTGACTTTATTTACCTGCCCTGACTTCTGATAATTTGCTGTTGTTTAGTTGTTTTTCAGTTATGTGTGACTCTTTGTGACCCCTTTTGGAGTTTTTTTTTCAAGGATACTAGAATGATTTGCTATTTCCTTCTCCAGATTATTTTACAGATAAGGAAACTGAGTCAAACAGGACTAAGTGACTTTCCCAGGGTCCCACAGCTAGTAAGTATCTGAGGCGAGATCTGAACTCAAGAAAATGAGACTTCCTGATTGCAGGCCTAGCACTCCGTCCACTATGCCACCTAGTTACCTGTACCTTAAGCTGTTCCTGGACTTTCTGAATTACTACCCCCACCTGCTCCTGATGTCCTTTTTTTTTTTGAAGTCAAGTACAAAAGTACAAGTACAAAAAACTGGAGTTGCATTGCACACCAAAATTCAATGGTTCTGTATTATTCCCTTCCTCTCAGTGTTTAATGTTGACAGATTCCCAAAGGGTCAAATCAAGAATACACAAGCAAAGCATTGCATTGCATCTCTAGGCACTGGCTTGAGGCTAAGTTCTATGTGTGAAAAATGTTGGCACACTGCCAATGTAAAAAAATCATACTTGTGCCATTCCAAGGTTCCACCACACTGTTCTCTCTCTTAAGTTAACAATAATTGACCCAATGCCTGAATCTCCTTAATGTAAGTTGTAATTAATAAGATTGATTGATATAAAGGTATTATGGCATAGTGGACAGAGAGTTGGTCTTGAAGGCAGGAAGACCTGGGTTCTAGTCCTGCCTCTGATTCATACTGTCTGCAAGACCCTGGGCAAGTCATTTAATCTCCCAGTGACCTAGGAAACTCTCTATGACTATAAGTGGCAGAAAAGGTGCCAACCTGCAACTGCAGAAAGTTTCCTCACCAAAAGTTCCCTATACCAATGAAATCACAGATCTAGGATGTATACCTACATTAGATAAGCTTCTAGATCATATATAGTATGCTTATAGTCTGTCCAGAATCCAGAAGGCCACATTTTTGTTTCTTCCCTGGCTGATTACATACATATACATATACATATATATATATATATATACATATATATATAAATATATATATATACATATATATATTATATATACACATATGTATACATATTATATATTATACGTTATATATATATTATACGTATATATTATATATATATATATGTATATTTCAAATAGCAATCCAATTTTCTCCCTTCCATCTTCTCCTCATGAGAAATGAAAAAAAGAAAACCAAAACCTTTAAGATAAATACACGCATTCAAGCAAAACTAATTCCCACTTTGGTCATATCAAAAAAATTAGATATTTGATTTTGTACCCTCCATCCATCACCCCTCTGTTAGGAGGTAGGTAGAATACCTCATCATTGGTCCTCCGAAATTTTAGATAATCAATAAGAGTCTTTAAGTCTTTCAAATTTGTTTGTTGCTACCACGTTCTGTTATTAATTGCTATACTGTTTCTTCTCACTTCACTCTGAATCAGCTCATATAAGTCTTCTGAAGTTTCTCTAAAACCATGTCATTCATCATTTCTTACAACACCATGTATTCCATTACATGAATATACCACAATTTATTCAGCCATTCCCTAATAATGGGCACCAACAACTTTTCAAAAAGAGCTACTATAAATATTTTGTGCATGTGGATCTTTTCCCCTCTTTGTTTGATAGGATGTATACAGCTTAGTTACCTCTTGGGCATAGTTCCAAATTTTGTGGATTTGGTGATTTGCAATGTTGCACTATGATTTAATGAAAGCTATTTCTTTGCTTGGGAGTCTGAAATCGTGATTTTAGTAGGGAGAAGGTAGAGAACTCCAGTTGAGAAGAAAACTGGGGGAGAGCGTTAAATTCAAAAGAGATGAAGTGCACCAAAAATAAACTTCATCCGCTTTACAGTTTCTCAGAAGGCACCCAGAGTAAACTCTTCCTTTGTTTTGTCATTACTATTCAAGCCTGATATAAGATAAAACAATCTTATAAAAGAATCATAGATTCATATAGAACCAAGTCAGTACTTGCCTTTACCTACTCAATAAAACAGAATCATCATCATCATCATCATCATCACCACCGCCACCACCACCAGATATTTATTAGAGGTCATGAGTATATGACTATAAAAATGGATTTAAAAACAAACATATATTCTACATTCTAGATAGCACACTCTAGAAAATAATAATGTCCAATATTCTCTCAGACAAACCGTAGTAGCAGTAAAACCTCTTCAATACATCCCTATCTTCCATGGAGCTCATGTAACGCAATGGTACAAAGGTAGTTTAGAAAATAGGGAACCATCACAATAGAAATCTTTAAATTGATATTTATGATTGTTAGGCTATTTAAAAGCCTTCCTTGATGGTCATTGCACCCCAGAACCACAAAGAAATTAGTCAGAATCTGGAAATCAAAAATTTTTTAAATTATTAAAATTGTTTTTTACATGTAGAGATAAGAAAAATATTAATGAAAAATAAAACCTTAAAACAACAACAACAACAACAAAGAAACTACTTAGATACTTCAGGGTACCTATGATATCTCTAATCAAATGAGGTATTTATAAAGTACTTAGCACAATGCCTGAAACATAGTACATGGATATAAATCTGTTTTCCCTTCACCTTCCCCTTTTCTTTATCTAGTGATGCAGATCATGACTTAGCCACGCCCTCTCCTCTTATGTGATTCTTATCCAAGTTCTCTGCAGGGGGTCTACTCAATAATCTAGGGACCTTCCTTAGTTTTCCTGACATGTCCCAGCATATAAGAAGTCCAATCTATGTTTTCATCATACATCACTCTGATGGCATACCTTACACTACTTCTTTGTGAAATGCTTATTTGGTAAAGGATTTTGTCTAACTTAATTGAAGTGACCCTCAATTTTTATTCTTCAGAGGTTATGATATTTCATGATTTATACCTATGTAGTACAGTCAGTCTAAAAGTATTTATTAAGCACTTAGTATGTGCTATGTACTATGTAAAGTGCTGGGAATATAAAGACAAAACAAAGTGCCTGTCTTCAAGCAACTTGCCCTCTAATGGGGAAACAACGTGTAAATAAATATAGATGATAACCTTAGTGGGGAGGCTCTAGCAACTGAAGAGACTAGAAGACATATACTTCCTGCAGAAGTTGCTCTTTTAGCTGAGTTTCAGAGGAAGTAGGAGATTCTGGCTTCAAACAAAAAGGTAACGAGTTAAGAGCATTTCTAATATGTGGCAAGGGCAGGAAGAGGGGGTCAGTCAGTGCAAACATATGAAGATAAGAGTTAGAGAATAATGTACTAGGAATGCCAAGTAGGTTGATGATTTTTAAGGGGGGGGGGACTTTGATTCCTATGAGAAGCTTGGAATCATTAAAAGCATTACACAATTTCCCAGAAGTTGTCCAGTTTTTTCTCTTTGGCCATTAAGTCCTTGATCTTGCTCATTGTCCGGTTAATATCTGCCCAAGTTATATGTCCCAATGAACCAATTCTATAGGGTTACTCATCCAACTGACCAAATATAAAAAAGAAAATATATCATCAGTGCTATCTGATGTCTTTTCTTTCTTCATCTTACTTCCATCATTAAATTACAAATCTTCATGTATGTTTTCAGTGACTTAGAAAGGAAAGAGGAAGGGCAGCTAGGTGGCACAGTGGACAGAGCACCGGCTCTGGATTCAGGAGGACAGGAGTGTTCAAATCCAGCCTCAGACACATAACACTTACTAGCTGTGTGACCCTGGGCAAGTCATTTAACCCCATTGCCTAGCTAAAACAAAACAAAACAAAACAAAACAAAACAAAAAGTAGAAGGAAAGAGGAGCTAATCGCAGAAGGAGGAGGAAGAACATGGCCTACCAGAGAATATGAACTCACAAACAATGGTTCAATTCATTTATTTAACTAGAGTACCTAAAACAACGCTTAGCTCCCAGTGAAAGCATATTTTACCTTCTTGATAATGATGTTGTTACTTCTATTTTTAACTCTTTCTTAATAATAAATAGCAATATATTCCTTCAATTTCAACAAAATTTACCAAGCACTTATTAAACACCTATTACGTGAACAAGAGAAGCATACAAGGTACTAATAGAGGGACAGATAAAATACAGTCCCTATTCCCACATAGCTTGTAGACTAGTAGGGAAGCATGATATATACAAAAATAAATGCTTATGATGGCATATTATCAGAGTTGAAAGGTATTCCAGAGGTAATTTACTCCAGTACACACTGAAATAGGAATAAACTTAATAGTATCCTTGACAGCCTTGGGATAAAACCATTCCACTTTTGTATAGTTCTAATTATTGGAAAGTTGATGTTTTTTTTTCCTTTAGGACTCAAGTCTAAAGGGAAGAAACTTCCCAACAATTAGAGCTGGAATGGGTTTCATTTTGAAACCTGTTGAATTAACCACTAGTGCCTCATCAAGGATAATGTAGAGAAGATTCCTTAGAGGGGATTCCTGCTCAATTTAATGAGTTACACAATAAATGTGATGGCATTGTATAGAGTATAAATCTTTGTTTGGAGACATCTG